GCGTTCAAGGTCACCCAATTCGACTGGCGTCGCGGCTGTGCCGGCCGATGACGAGGAGGCAGCAGCCGAATTCGCTCAGGCCAAGCTGCAGTGGAGGCAAATCTGCAGGGACTTGTTTTGGTCTAAACTGACCGAACTACTAGGGCGGCAGGCGACGACTTCGGAAGAGGAGGATTCAGGTACTAGGAGCATTCATTATCTGAAACCAGTTTGATAAACCCTTCATTTTTCGCATGAGGCTAAATTTTTACCTGCATGTTTGCAGGTGGTTCATCTACCCTGGTCTTCGACGAACTGCCTGTCGTGGAGGCTTTTCTGGCCCAATTGTATGTCATACCGGATGAACGCAGTGCCTCCGTCCTCACCACCGCGGAGGCTCCGGTCACTTTCTCACCACACAGAAAAGCGGACTGGAGGAACTACCAACTCAATCTGTGGCGCGCTATCACACCCGTCGGAGTGGGCAAATATGCACGCTTTTTAATGCCTGTCTTCTTGAATTTTGTGAAGTAAGGAACAGGTGCTTTCTCCTCCCCCTTCCCCGGCCTACATTTTCCCCTCCTCTGTAGTTTAGTAATCTTGGTGGCCTCTAATGCCTGCATTGGCGCGAAACTGAAGAGTTATGTAGCGTGAGTATTGCCGCAAGTAGGTGACAAGACAGTCAACGGGAACTCACGGGCTACGCGGTTAGTTTCAATTACGTTTTGTTCAGTGCACTTCGGACGGACTGGGATAGGTGCATCGCAAGTCTGTTATCCCTATAAATTGCATCGCACGCAAGTCACCCTCCTAGCGCCACTATGCTGTGGGGGACACAAATAACCTCGGCGGTCGAACTGTCCTGTACTGGTGTGCATCTTCACGACTTTACGACCTCTGCGTTCAAATTAATCACTTGTTTATCTCCGGTGACCTACTCCAGTCTTAGGTTAATAATGTTTGACTGTGAAGAGTTTTTAGAAACGGTTACGGCAACAGTAGCTTATGTAGCCCCACTTATTAATCCCTGCAATCTGCATGTTTTCCTACGAAAACGGTGTTTATCAGGTTTTATGGGTGGGAAATTAGGACGCGCAGTGGAATATACCTTAATAAATGCTACATGCATTTTTATTTTACTGTATTTAGAAGTGTTGTTGA